ACCACATTGACATCATGACCGGCCGTTGGCATCTATTTGATTCTAGTGTTGGTGGTTCGATAGACAGCGCTATCGAGTACTTTATCAAGTCCCACGTCATGTCTGGGGACACTGGCGACTGGGAGCGTTTTGAGCGGACGGTGCGGGATGTCAACCGCTATTTGAGAAAATGTGGCATGTTGACGACTGTCGATATGCGCAGTGGCCGACCGTTTTCTTCTGCCCAACAATCCCTGGCGTCCTTCTTTCCGGGCAACCTGATTCTTGGCGGCCATCTTGCAGAGGCCACGGAGAGCAACTGGCCGATCCACAGCATCTTCAAGCACTTCGGGGCGTTACCAGAGGAGTTTTCTCTGGGAAGTGGGGGTCCCCATGGCGGCTACCCGCAGCGTCCCGAGCATGCGGAATCTGTGTACATGCTTTACCGCGCGACCCATGATCCTGCGTACCTTGTGATGGGGAAGGAGCTGGCATTGGCGATCAACTTGCGCATGAGGACCCCGTATGGGTTTGCCACGCTGCGCAACGTGGATCTTCCGCACGGTGATGAACAGCACGGCGACACGATGGAGAGCTTCATGCTTGCCGAGACGCTGAAGTACCTGTATCTTCTTTTTGACGAGTGCAATGCGGTGCATGTTCAGGGGAAGCTCCGTGGCAGCATCCCGTCGTATTGCGCTGCTGTGGAGAGCGGCAGCAGTGTGGGGAGTCACGTGGGGTGGGTGTTCAACACCGAGGCGCATTTATTCCCCAACACGGCCGAGTGGTGGGGGCCAGTGTCTGCAGAGAGCGCAAGGGAAGAGGAGGAGGTCTCGGGAGACACGCTGACACAGCGCCGATTGGATGTAATTGATAGTCTTATTGATGGTCTTCATGAGTTGCAGGGCGGTGACAATGACCGTGGAGGAGGAAATACCGCCCCGCACCGATTTTACTGTGCTAATCATGCGCTGAGTGACGTTGAACGGATTTCGAAGTCCATATTCCGCTGAATTGGCAGAAAGTTTGTGCATGAAATGCTGCTTTATCCTTTTTTGTGGTCCGTGTGTGTTGGTGTGGTGTAGAGTTTTTATTTGTTCGGAAATGATTGTTGGTGTGAGGGCTGGATATTTATGATGTTTTTTGATAGGTCAAGGATATATATATATATATATATATATGTATTTATTTTGTGTTTTATGGTGTTTTTTGTGGAGGTCTACGACGTAATGAATTAAAGGAGCAATAGCGGCATATATTTAGTTATTATTATTATTATTAATATTTTCGCTTCTTTTGGTTGGGTTTTGTGGCGGGAGGAGTTCAAATTCTTTTACTGCGTCAGTCATAAATATAAATATATTTATATTTATATTCATTTATTTATTTTTAATTCAAATAGAATGAGCAACATGTCACGATCGTGGGGGTGGGTGGGTGGGTTGGGAAAATCAGAAATACGCACATAAGTACATGTGTGTGTACATGTAAATAAAGAAATATATATATATATATATATATATATGTATTTGGAGCAGAAGGAAATGTGGCTGTGGTTAAAACATTGCTTCTCCATTTAACCCACCAACACCACCACCACCACCACCACGACTAGTAGCGGCAGTAGCAACCCCTTTTTATTTATTTTATTTTATTTTTTAGTGTTTTTGTTTTATGTTTAAATCTTTTAGGATACGGCAAGCAGCCCAGGCGGATATTTTGGGCGTGCATGTATTTATTTTATTTTATTTTATTTTATTTTTTATGATTATTAAAGGCCGCTTTTTTTTTTTTTTTTTTTTGTCTTTACGGTGATTATTGGTCGTGTGCGGTTTATTGAATGAATAAATGAATTATTATTATTATTATTATTATTATTATTTGTTTTTGTTTTTGGTGTTGGCGTTTTTAAGTTATTGTTTTGTAAATATATAATATAATATAATATAATATATTTGGGCTTTATAAATTTTTCTTTTTTTTTCTTTCTTTTTCGGGAAGAGGGTGTTGGTTTTTTCTTTGCGTGTGTGTGTGTGTGTGTGTAACCCCAAGCGATATTAGCATACAATACATACAATAGGTGCATATATATATAGTATATATAGTATATATAGTATATACATTCTTATATGTATTTGTATAGTTTTATATATAAGGCATAATTGATGTTGTCACATGCCTCGAATGATCCTCTTACAGGGGCTCTGGATACCCTCGCCGTGCTGCATCAAGTAATGAGATTTGTACCATATAATCGCCGGACTCTCTGTACGATGCGATGTGTTTCAAAGCCATATCGTCGTGCTGTGCAGCACCCAAATGGACCATGGGCGGGCCGTGAGGAGATCATAATGTCAAAATACGGCCATTGTATTATATTTAACGCCAAAGATGATGAAGAGGGACGCTCCAGTTTCCGACTGTCTTCTGTTTCTCCCATGGGCCGCAAGTTTACTACGCTTGGCGTGAAGATGTTGAGCCGTTACCACAAGCGCGTAGCGGATGGTTTAACACGACTTGCGCTGCATCATTCTCACATTGATCTTGAGTGCTTCGAGGCTCTTGCTCCTCTTACAAACCTCCGGGAACTGGAGTTGGCGTCATGCCGGCAAATCACGTCTATTGCGGAGGCCAGTCATGTGGCGAATTTGGAGTCGCTTGAGGTCAACCTCTGCCCGCTGGAACCGGACGGCGCTGTGGGCCTGCTGCTCCCGAAGCTCAAGCGACTCAAGTTACATGCCTGCTATCGACTGAGCAATTTGAACGGCATCGAACCCGAGACCGCCGCCGCGTTGGAAGAAGTGTACATTGAGAACTGCAACATTTATGATGACACCGCCAACGAGTTCTTTATGAATTTTACAAAAAATTTGCGCGTGCTTCATCTGCCCGGGGCTCACATTGACACGGCACTCAAATTTATTCCCGAGGACGTGCGGAGAAAGTCGCTGACATCTTTGAACCTTCAAGAAACGTCCTTGCGGTTTGAAACTTTGTGTGAATTGGCTCCCTCCATGCAAGATCGTCTGGAGTTTCTTTCATTGGATTCCTGTACCGAATTGGAGAGTTTTGAGCCTCTCGGTAGACTTCAGGAGCTCCGCTTTCTTGATGTCGCAGAGTCTCTCCACGGCGAGGGCCTTCACTTTCTGACGTGCTGCACCAAACTGGAACTCGTTCGCATGGCGAATTCTCAAATAGAAAACATTATGTTTGTATCCTCATTGCAATCATTAAGGGTGCTCGATGCGCCCAACTCGAGTCTCGGTGATCCTTCCCTGATGTTCCTTGAGAATTTACCCATGCTGGAGGTGGTAGTATTGACAAAGTGCCTTCTCATCACAAACATTAATGTCTTGTGTACATGCAAACGAATTAGACGTATTTTTTGCGCCAATACCGGGGTGACAAATGAGGGGATCACGTTACTTACAGGGTGCGCTGAGTTAGAGGAACTTGACCTGAAGATGACGGCGGTGACGGACGTCAATTTCCTTGCCAGCTGCCCTTCCCTTAAGTGTATAAATGTGTGTAACGCGGTGGTTAGCTGTGAGGGGTGCGAGGCACTACTGAAGAAAAACATAGAAGTTATCTGCGACTCCTTTGATACGAGAAGTGATTACATTGACGCGTAGGCAAAAGGAAAAACAACAACAAAAGCGAGAAGAGAGAGGGAAACACACACACAGAACAAAAGAGAAATTGAGTGTGCTTGCGTGGGAAAGAAGTAATTGAGAAATACGTACATTTTTACACGCATTTATTGACGACTTTCTGTGACTCTCTCTTTTTTTCTCTCTCTTTCTCTCTCTCTCTCTGTGTGTGTGTGTTTGTGTGTTTTTCTTTAAGGCAATTCCATTGGATGAAGCATGATGGGACATGACATGGCGGTGCATTTTTGCCGCTCGTGGCGTCAACGCAAGCCGGGGAGAATTCCCACATGAAACGTTTGAAGGCGAAGGCATCCAACGGACGTGAGTGGACGAATATTTGATGGCCGACTCTTCACACGTCGCTCCTGTTCAAAGGGTCCTGCGGGTCGTGCCCACACACACACAAACACACACGAAAAAAAAAAAAAAAAAAATAATATATTTTTTTGTTCTGTTTTTCTTTTCCTTTGCTTTTTTGGGCAGCCGCAGGGCTGCCTTTTTCTTTCTATTTTTTTTTTTTTTTTTTGCTTTTCTCTGTGTGTGCCTGAGGTCGTGCACGAGACAACATTTGCACCAAAAAAACAATATCAAAAACGAAAAAAAAAAAGGAAGAGGGGCGAGAGAGAGAGAGGTGTTGGTTGGATGGAGGAGGACAAGATGGGATGCAGGGATGACGGGCCAACAAGCCGGGGGGAGTGGCTCTCAAGGGCGGAGGCAAAGGATCACCAATTGGAGTTGGCCAATACCATAAAGTCGTTTCACTACCGTCTGCAGCAGCGAATGTCAACCGAAACGTCTGCCTTTTTGTCACCGAAGAAAGGGCAGAAGGAGGAAGAAAAAAACGAAGAGGCAATTTGGTCTCGTCTTATAGCTGAGGAAGGGGAAAATATGAAGGCGTATGCGACGGCAATGCATGCGATCGCCACCCGTTATTGGGATCCGGATCAAGAGGGGAATGAGGAGAATGTATCTGGGTTTCGTTCTCATGTCACCTCCACCGTGGGCGGGGTAACACGGACCCGCTCGAGATGTCAACGTGACAACGGCGGAGAGGAGGGCGGCAATCAACATGGAAGGTCCTCCAGTGGGCCATCGCGCCACAACGACCGCGTGGCGTACTCATTGCACTGCGTGGCGGATTATTACCTCGGCAGCTGCCTGCCGCTTGTCAACACCGAGCAGCAGTTAAAGCATCATCATCATGATGGGACGCATGATGTAAGCTCTTTTGATAAAAGCCATCCCGGCCATTCTTCGATAGTTGAATGCACGGGGATTTATGAGCAGATTCCTCGGATTGCGACTAAAACCATAAAGATATGGCGGCGTGCTTTTTATGCAGCCCACGGCCGCCAAGCAACTGCAACTGAAGTTGAGAATGCAACATATGATGCACTTTGTTTACATGGTTGTGAGGGGGAAAAAAGTCAAGAACGACGCGGGAATTTGCCGTTGGAGCCTTTGCTTTATAAGACTTTGCTATCAACGTGTGGCCAGGGGAAATTAACGAGCTCGGCTGCAACAATGGCAGGTACCTACATGTCTGCGACACGCAATGAGGTAAGGCGCCGTCGCTTCACTAATGGTGGAGACACGCCGCCAGAAACTTTTCTGCCACTGCAGGTGCTTGATGTAGGCTCATGCTACGGCCCTTTTAAGGGAAAAATGATCACAAACGGGGTGCTGCAAGTAAGACTGGCAGTGACGGCAATAGATCTGTGTCCCTTCGAGGGTAGCAATGTCCTTCAAGGGGACTGGCTTGCTGTTCGTTTCTATGATGTAGGGGAGAGACAGAAGGAAGAATACTCGGAAGGGGTGGGAACGGAATCTCTTGTTCGAACTGGCGACGACGCAGATGGCGTGACGAAAACGCCTAAAAGTACTCTTTGGGTGGCTCGTGGTCAATTTGATGCCGTGTTTTTCTGCCTGATGCTCTCTTTTCTTCCTCATCCCCGTCTGCGGTACCGTGCCTGTCTTCATGCCCACTTGGCGCTCAAGGATGGAGGACTACTTGTCATTGTGAGTACCCGCACGCAATGCACACGCCGTGGCTCTTGGGTAGACGACTGGGTCACGTGCATTGAGGGAATAGGGTTCAAGCGTGTGCACAAGCACATCATGGGGCAGGTTGTGGGGCTGAGTTTCAGCAAGGAGGCGGGGCCAGAAATTGAGGGCGACACTGCGGAGTGGCTTGGAAGCATGATGGCCCGCCCTGAAGCGGAGTGCGGCCTGCGCATACTCGGCGACGATTGCTGCTAACCCTTCAAGCAGAGGCTTCACCTCCGCCCTAATTCTCGCACTGCGACAAACAACAACAACAACAACAAGAGGGAAAGCAGAAGAAAGCAACAGCCAAAAATTAA